GAAAAGGCCCACGCAAACACAAAAAAGTAGCTCTAATTAAAAAGCGATACGCCTTTTTCGAAAGTCACCGAAAAACCAGAAAAAATACTCTGTATATTTTTATTTGACAGACGCCCGTTGAAAATTTTCAAGCCGCATAAATCAGCCAAAAAAGAGTTTACACAATAAAAATATTGGAAATAAACCGAGCAGAGCAGCAGCCTTCACTGCAATTTGTTGTTGAAAAGCAGCTTAAATCAAGAGATCGAAAGGCCTTAGGAAAACATTTGCCAAAATCCGTTCAAGTGACAAGTGCCTGAAAAAAATGTTGTTGTTATAACAGCTTCGAAATCGGCTGAAAGATATATGTCCATTGTGTTTGACTGCTTTGTTTGGCTTTGGTTTTGGTTTTGGTTTTCTATTTCTACTCGTAGTTTTATTTTTGGGAGCACAACATTCTCACGGCTGGTAGATGATGACAAGTCACAAGTCACAAGCGGAGAAACCAATTGAGTGCCAAGGGCTTTTGTCATCAAACCAGCGATCCATCCATTGATATGGCAATCGATATAGGTTTTGGGTTTGGTTTTGGTTTTGGGTACGGTAGTCGTCCCTATGATGATCGCTCAATTTGCGCAATGACGTGAAAGATTGCCGCTGATTCCGGGGGTAATCGATCTTCTTTTCTCAGTTTTCGGTCTACAGTCTTTAGCCTTCGAAGATGATACAGTTCTTAACTCCCGGCTACCGGTTGCAGTATCTACACTCTTTATTCCTCCACTGTTTTAAGCACCTTGCCCTCGCAGATAGCACATATATCCCTTTGGAATGGGCAGGATTATAAACTTTATTGCATACTCTTCATGTGTCTTTTATAGTTCTGTCTTGGCCTTTTGTTTTTCCCCACTTTTATAGGGCTGGCAGTGCCAGCCTGGGGTTATTTACGACATTTCCAGCCAAAAGTTGCAAGGTGCAAGTTTTAAATTGTGGAATTTTTATGAGGGCCTCTTCGGCTTGGCATGGCGAATGTGCTTATATAACACACTGAGTATTCATAGCAAATAATAACAATAAAAGGCACAGAACTAGCCCCGGGATCCCACAGATAACCGGGGAGATATTTTATCGCACATTGCGACCCGCAGAGAACCGGCGAATTCATCATCTTCTATCAGTTCTGAAAATCTTCGGCACTTTTTGCTTGCCAAGATGAGGGTTTTTATTTGGTTTCTGATATCCTAATTATTGGATGCAAGCTAGGTATACTCAAAAAAATTACCTGAGTATCTGTCAGATGGTTTTCAACATAACTGATATTTTTAACAAGATTTTTTAATTATTTTACTACTTAAATACTTTTGAAAATTAAAAAAGTAAGCTACAATTAATTAAATACTTATCTATACATAAACTCATTAAATTTGATTACTTTACTACATGTTAAGTATTGAATTTTTGACTGCTTTTACTGCATTAACTGCACTAACTGATAAATGTATCTTCCCATCATCGTATTGTTAAACTTAAACTGAGAATTTGTATAAGATTTACTTGAGTATCTGTTTGATGATTTTAAAATATGACAAACATTTTTGTAACTATATTTTGTAATATAGTTTTTAAGTATTTATTATATTTAAGTATTTTTAAAAATTGGAAAGCAATTTGTTATTTAGTTTTAATGCCCATATTTGCCAAGGTTAATTTATTCAACGACAATGACTCCTTCTACTGCATTAACTATGTGATAAAAGTATCTTCCCATCATCTTAATCTGTTCTCCATTTTTGGCCTACTAAAGCCATTTTCCGCACTTCATTCTGTCACCCAGTCGGTGAAGTTTCCACGAATTCTAAGCCTAAGTCCGCCAGAAACCCATTTTAAATTCATGGCTGGATTTATGCAACTCGCATTGAATCGCACACACAAACCGCAAAAGCAAAAGGCTCACGACACTCACGAGTAAATTACAGTCAAATGACATGCTCGCCAAAAATGCCACTTCAAATGTGTCCTTCTGTATGAATCCCTTCCCCTTCCACTTCCCTTCACCTCTCCTCATTTCCTCCCCTTTTATGTGTCCTTCTGACAACTGACATATTTTCAAAAGTGGGCATAGACATGACAACAACAGCAATTGCATGTGTGTAACCAACAAGCTGCAGGGAATTCCAAGTGAGATTTCGGGTACCATACACTAGAAACAAGAATATACTCACTAAAAATGCTTTGATAGAACGTTTCTCAAATAGGCACTACATAAAAAACTTAAAACTTTTTTAGTTTTATTGTTTAAGGTTGATATTCCTTACCATTATTCTTATAACCAATTTAGTTTAATTTCAGTTGATATTTTTGTTGAGCTAATCATTAAATTAAAATTCTGGAATACCTTTTTTTCTGCGAGTGCACTCAAGGCACTGTCTCAGCCTCCGTTTTGGTGTGTTAAAACGGGCGTTGGGAAAACAAATTGCTGCAGAAAACACCCCGTCGTACCGCTACCCCTCCCCTTTCCCCTTTCCCCTTGCCCCCTAATATTCGGCCTTGTTGTTGGTTGTGTTTTTCGGGCGCGCAATGTGAAAAGTTAAACGAAAGTGACAGGCGAGTCAAAGGAGGTACAGGGGGTATTTGGGATATGGGAGGTATTTCAGTATATATGGTAGAGCGCAGGCTCGTCCGGGGAAATTCGGCCTGGATGAGGAGTGTGAGGGGTATGAGGGGTACGAGGGGTATTTGCGGGTATCTGTGGGTCGACCACCGCTATTAAACGTGTCACATACACGACGGAGTTGAAAAGTTAAATGGCAGCGGCTGCGCGTTTTGGACGGCCATGTTAGAATGTAGTTATTTGATGTCCGCGGAACACGCACAGATACACAGATACAAAGATACTCGGTACAGATACAGATACAAACTCACATGTTGCTCTTTCTGACGGTGGCCATATTGCATATTTCGGCCTCAACCCCCCTAAAAAAAGATACTAGATACATTTGTATCCGACAGTTTTGCGGCCAGTCATAAATTATTCTCATAGATATCTATTACCCATGGGCTATTGTCTTATTAATTGCCTTAGTAGCAAATGGCGGGCCCTTTGATCGGTTTACACACTATAGTTATCGTCTTAAAGTCACGGCCCAAGGTTTTATCTCGTATTTATTCGTATTTATTTTCCGGCGGCAAGAGAAGAAACGAATTCGTCAGCTAAGCTAACAACAAGTTGCCATAAGTTAAATGACAATTATTTGCGCCTACAAATGTTTTGTCAACGCCAGTTACGAAAATAGGAACGTATTTTCCCTGCCATTTTTGATTAATGGAAAAACTTCGCCTTTTTTTATTAATGAAATGCCGGCCATTAATTAAATGCTTCAAGTACTGCACTCAATTCCTTTTATACATATGCGTGAATACAGATTTCAGCCCGAAATTGCACATCATAATCAACAATAACCAGATCCAGCAATTGAAATTGTTTTTCAATCAAAAATAAAGATAATGAGAAGGCATTAACATGGACTGAAATGTTCTTTGATGGTGAAATTATGGAGTTTTAAATTGTTAAATATATTAAGAAGATTACAAATTAAATATTTTAATGCAAAATTATTGAAAGGATTTTATTAAATGGTTATTGATTTACAAAATTAAATAATTAAATTATTTTTACGTTGTATGTTATCTTTTTGTGATTTATTTATTTCTTTATAAATTTGAAGACACTTTAAGTGTATCATGTTACATTAACTTGATTGAAATAAATTATTTGATTTAAAAATACGTTTAAATATTTTACTGTAAATGCAGAGTGATTTATGTTTTCTTTTAAAACAACTTTCATTTTTTTTTAACACCTTCAGGCAAAAAAATGACATTAATTGTCTCCAACAAAATGTAAGCTTCATATTTCAATTTAAATTATTTCAAACAGCCTGCTAAAATTCCCCATTTAAATATACATTTGTTAATGATATCTTTCTAATTGGAAACGAGTGCAATGCGATGCAGATTTTGCCGCTGTTAAAATATTTGTTGAAATCAACAATTTTCGGGTAGCACTAAAATATCAATTAAGAAAGCCACACTCTAAATAATACTCTTCGGATTACTTTTTGTTTCGGTGTCTTTTTTGTACTTTATGAAACGCAATAAAATTTGTTTGAAACACACTTTTAAAACGGCGTAACATGCTGGCGATCCATTGAATATTCATTAGATCGATCTTCGGATGGGTCGATAAATTTCACATTTCGGGGACTTCGAAGTCGAAGTGAAGCAGTTGCCGTCGCAGCAGCAACAACAATTAGCATAACATTTTAAAATTTATGGTTCAATTTTCGAAAAGAGCGAATCGGTATAACGAAAAAATCGAAACAAAACAAAACAATGCCCAAAGCGAAAGATCGAAACTCGTCTTTTGTGTTGGGCTATTGAAATTTGTTTAATATACATAAGTTAAATGCTGCAGCTAAGAAATAAAACAGAAGCCGCCCGGACATTTGCCAGATTTATTGACCGATTTCATTTGAAGGCACAACAAAAGAAGAAACAAATCCGACGGGCGCTACGATTTTAGATCAGATCAGATCAGATCGCCTTTCTTATAGGAAACACCGATCCGGTTCTCAGGTGTGTGATAAAAAAGAGTCCCAAGAATTTGCATAGGCAACTTGTATTCAGAAATAGGCTAAAGAAGAACTTTCAAAAACTGCACTTATAAAAAAATGGAAAAGTAAATAATAATATAGCACTATTGAATTCCAAATTTTATATTTAATATTTAAGTTATTGCAAGGCATAATAAATTGCATGACTGTGGAAAATATTAAGTTTAAAATATTTTCTATTTGATTTAAATGCATTTTATTTAAGTTAAATGTGGATTATATTAAAATAAACTTTCAGATATTAAAATCAATTCCAAAAATAATGAAATGAAAAATTAAAAAAAAAGGAATTTGGATTTAATTTTTCTTTTTGCAGTGTACTAAAATTATGTTGTTTTCTATTTTTTCCAGACTGAGCTGCGTTCCTGCGCAGCGTGTGGGGAACCAATCTCGGATAGGTTTTTCCTGGAGGTCGGCGGCTGCTCCTGGCACGCCCACTGCCTCCGCTGCTGCATGTGCATGTGTCCTCTGGACCGCCAGCAGTCCTGCTTCATCCGCGAGCGGCAGGTCTACTGCAAGGCCGACTACAGCAAGTGAGTACTGATTAAAAAAAAGATTAAAAGTCCTTATTTTAGGAGTTTTGTAACAAAAGTAACATAAGTTATTTGATAAAAATTTAACACAATCATGGAAATATCTTTTCTGGTTAAGAGCCAAAAGATTTGTAAGTTATTAAGTAAAAAACTGTTTTACATTCTTTCCATTACAGTTTATCTTTTAGCCAAATGTTTGGCTCCAAAAACTGGCCCTTATTTAACTTTCGAAAATTCCAATTGATTTTCCAACTCGATTGTGTATGTGCACAAGTGTTTTCCGAATAGTTTCCCACACATCTTCTGTCCCCTGGTTAATTGTAATTGTAACAATTCGACAGCGTTTGCGACTTAATCCATAAAGTCAACAGCGACAAAGATGCGGCCAAAACGTAACGAAATGAAAACTTTGCGGGGAGAATGCAACTTGCAAGCCAAAGTATCTGGAAGATACAAAAAAAAAAGTAGTGAAGAGGGGGAAGCGTAGGAAAACGGTGTCGACGTCGAACGAAATGAAAATAAACAAACAGACGCTCCGTGAGATGCTGTAAAAATATTTATTTTTCAAGTTAAGAATTTTAAGTGTGCATTGCCCGATGGAGACATCATCATCCAGCCTCGGCATCGCATCGCATCGTATCTGAACCCATCCCGAAAAAACCCATCTACATCCACATCCATATCCACATCCGAGTCATGCTCCATGCCATACATTGTTGTGGCTGTTGTAAAAATAAGCTTAAAAGCTAACAATAAGCCACCGAAAGTTGCCGACTCACTTGGAAAAACGTTTGCCAGGGCAACCACTTCCGCTTGGAAAGCGCTCTGGCATACAGGAAAATACTTAGCCGTATCGGATTGATAAAGTCCCATCAGTTTTCCCTTTTCGATTTTGTGTATTATCAAAATGGTATCAATTAAACAAGTCATACGTTTAATTTAAATTTCACCATTTAAAAATTTTATTTGCAGAAATTAAAATAATATTTATACACATAACAAGCAACGCATTCCCAATAGCTTTATTTTATTATTTCAAAAATAAAGAATAAAATTTCATTAAAGCGCAAAACAAAACTCCAAATAAGAAACATAAAAATTAAATACTAACTTGAATACAATATTTTAATAGCCCAACTGATTGCGATTTCCTCTCTTTTTTAATTGCAGAAATTTTGGCGCCAAGTGCTCAAAGTGCTGTCGGGGGATCTCCGCCTCGGATTGGGTGCGTCGGGCGCGGGAGCTGGTCTTCCACCTAGCCTGCTTCGCCTGCGACCAGTGTGGCCGCCAGTTGTCCACCGGCGAGCAGTTCGCCCTCATGGACGACCGGGTGCTCTGCAAGGCTCATTATCTGGAGACGGTCGAGGGTGGCACCACTTCCAGCGACGGTAAGTACCTTACCACCATACCTTATATACAGTTGCGGTCAACTTAATAGCAGTAGGATAATGTCATATTGATTTGTTACCAAAAATCCAAGAAATAAAGGAATCTTTTATAATGATTTAGCTTATCAAGGAAAATTATAAGAGTTAATAATTCTTTAAAATTCACAGTTCAAAATATTGTAATTAAATGATTTTATAACAATTCGATCAGCATAAATCGCCGTCCATCTGCGCTTTCAATTCAAAACTTAAAATTTAAAACATCAACGTATTTCATAAAAATTTTGAAATATTATACACATGTTAAATATGGTTTTATACATTGACCCCTTTTACTTTATAGTATTAGCTTCTTGAAAATAATAAATAAATGGTTTCCAAACTATTTTCGATTGCTATTTCTATGATCTAAAAAACTACTACTATTTTGACCGCAGCTGTTCATATATTGCCCATTGGAAAACAAAACTGGGGGCATAAAAACAAGTTGGAAACATGCTGCACGCTTCAACGGCAGAACGGTTGCCGATTCGGGACGCTTCACTGTGAACGGTACAGTGAAGCTGGGCCAAAGTTTAGCGCCAGTCAGTCGCCACTGACGAAATCGTGTCACACTCGTAAAAAACAACTCTCCAGTTTGTTTTTTTTTTTGTTTTTTTGTTCGGAGGCGACGTGATCGGCTTGTGAATGTCGCAGCCTAACCCCCAGCCCAAAACCCATAACCCAAACGCAATCTGAAGAGCCTCTAGACCCCATCTCCTCCTCTTTGGAGGAGACCACCATGTCCGGTCCACAATGGCCACATCTCATAAAGCATTATAGCAGCAGCAGCAGCTCTATAAACCATAAACACTTTTTGACGTTTTCAATTTAGCCGACTGTCAAAATGCTTTTAGACCAGAGCTAGAGTCACCGAGAAAGAACTTTAAGGCTTATAAACAGATGAGACTTTATAGAATTCCCTTCTTTGGATGTAATTATATTAAAAACTTTTCTATTTCATTATAACACAATCCTAAAAATAATAAACTTATAAAAGTGCATTTTGGAATAGGTTAAAAATATGTATTAAATTCAAAATTAATACGGTATAAGTTCAAGTGTTGATTTAGAAAAATATATATTTTTAAATATTGTTTGTAAGTACAAAAAACATAAAATGATTAATTATAGCATTATGACACCTCCTTGCTTTAAAATGTTTTAAGAATTTTAAAAAAATATATATTATTTTAAAGGAAAATAAGAAAAAGAATAATCTGCCATATAATAATAGTTTTTAATGAAAGTTTTGAAAAGTTCTTTGACTTATGATTCTTAAAGTTAAATATGAATAATCTAAGAAATTTTAAAATTTAAAAATCTACTACGTTCTGGGATATTCTATTTTAAAGCCTGCCACTGGGAAGAGCACTTCATGTCTAGTCGCTTCCCTGCGATTTATATTCCGATTTAATTTTCTGATCGCTGACTTATTTTCTCGTATTTTTCTACAATTTCAGAGGGCTGTGATGGCGATGGTTATCACAAGAGCAAGACGAAACGGGTACGCACCACCTTCACCGAGGAGCAGTTGCAAGTGCTGCAGGCCAACTTCCAGATTGACAGTAATCCGGATGGTCAGGATCTGGAGCGGATCGCCTCGGTAACTGGTCTCAGCAAGCGTGTGACGCAAGTGTGGTTCCAGAATTCGCGGGCGCGTCAGAAAAAACACATACATGCTGGTAAGAATAAAAGTAAGTAGTGGATTAGTGCCGCATGCCCTACCAAGCCCCCCTCCCCCTAGAAAATCCATCAAAGTAGAACTCGACTATCCAGTATCCCCCCCGAAAAAACATCCTTACAAGTTGCCAACACAGTACTTACAATTTCTTCTGTTTTTTTTTCTACTTTCAACAAACGATTTTTGATTGCAGTACGCGAACCGGAAGGAAGCTCATTTGCGCGTCATATTAACCTGCAGTTAACGTATTCATTTCAGAATAACGCACAGAACCCAATGCATATGAACGGCTCTAAAGCGGGTCTATACCCGACTCATGGTAAGGATTACATTTTGGGAATAACAATTGACAGTAATGCATACCAAAAAATGAAAAAAAATAAATATTTATTAGGTTAAACTGTTAAACAATTTTAAACACAATTGTGAGATCTTCTGTAACAATTTTGTTTAAGTTAAGACAATGAAAGTTTATATTTTTAGTACCTACCTGTAAGGTAAACACACAATCCAATTTCTTTGCTAAGTTATCTATTTAAAAGCTAGAAATAATATATATTATATAAGTATTAGTATTATTTACTAAAATTTGTATTTTTAGTAAAATTATAAAGGAATTAATACCTGGCTAACTGATTCAATTTGTATCTTCCTGCAGAATCCTCCATGGATGAATTGTCGCAGGACTCGAGTGTGCATTGCATGCCCAGCGAGGTGTGACTAGAGCAATCCTCGCCAGCTCGAGCCCATCGATAGCTGGCCACCCACAAACAAAAACAAAAAATCGTCCTTTCCTAGTCAAAATTTTATGTAAAGCGTCCATGAAGCAGAAAATCGTGAAAACGATCCAGAGAAAACGATCCAGAATTGAGAAATGCAGTCCCAGTTTTTAAGCTTTGAGCAACCCATGCGAACCCATCGCCACACATTAAAATCTCATCGAAAAAGACATAGCAAACAAAAACAAACAACAAACAAACAAACATTCCTGCATTGTAGCGTAATAAGCTGCAGCTTAGTTAATTTAATTTAAATAAAATTTAAATTTATTTTAGTTTAATGTTCAGTAATCAATAAGTGTTTCCCCATCATTCACTTGATAAATTGATAACTGCTTGCCAAGGCTCCTGTAATATATTTATGCGTATGCCTATGCCTAACCAATCATTGTCGTATATACCTACCATGAGAAACGTTGTTATTGTTTATTTTCTTGTTTTTTAAATGTATAAAAACCAATTTAAATATAGTACATATATATTTAGATCTATAGATGTATCCTAAACATATAGCTGGCCAGGCAATTTGTATATAGTAATGATAGCCGAAATTGATAAGCAACGCAGAAAACAGTAAATGAGATGAAATTATACAGCTAAAAACTAACGTTTAGTTAACAGAAATTATAAAAATACAATTAAAGATGAACCGAAATCAATTAAAAAAAGAAAAAACAAATTAAAGAGAAAAAAACTTTTTCAAAAACAATAATGAATTGTGTTGTTGATTAATTTGGATTGGAGTGGTGAATTCATTGGGTTTTAAAGGACTATGGGAAGGCGTTCAAAATAAAATTTCTGTAAAGTTATAGCCAAACACAGATACAAGGGAATTTATAAGAATAAGAATTTCCAACAACAAAATACAATACAAATGATGATTTGTATTATGACGAGAATCACTTATTTTAAAATTATGTTCTGTGAATGTTACTTTGTTTTTAATTTACATATTCCGCTGCTCTTAAATTAAGTATTTTATTTATGTCTTAATTTCTATAAGCTTTGTGTTAAGGTTACATTGTGTTTGGGTTACTTTTTAGCTGCACTTAAATTAGGTTTATGTTATCAGCTGCTCTTGAACTAAATTTTTTAATTATGTCCTTATTTCCATCAATTGCAATAGCGATACTTTGTGTTTGGGAGACTTATTCCGCTGCTGTTGAAAAAAGTCTTTTACGTGTGTCTTAATTTTTATCAATCGCAACGTTTGCCAATGCCAAACGATCTCTTTGGGCAACACTCGAAATCGATTTCCGGTGCAGCCCGATGCTCGATCATCAACCTGTGGCCAACCTGAGCGATCATTTAAAGCATCTGCCGCAGACAGTGTGACGACGACTTTTCGAGCTCAATCATCGATGTTGAGATTCCCATTCCATTCCCAGCCAAAGTCATATTCACATGGTATGGGGTATTCAGTATGGTGTATGGGGTTTATGGCCACTCGAGCTGGCAGTCATGTGGCTGGATTCTAGTGTTGCACTTCAGGTTCTCCGAGCTAAGTGCATCGAAAAAGCAGCGAAGGCATTAATTGAATTATAAGCCTAGATTATGCAGAGGTTTCCTGCCAGCCAGCTGTTCGGATGAAGCAATTTGTGTGGAAGATCATCGCCGCGATGATCATGCTCATTGCGACCGAAAGTGGGTAAAATGTAGAGGTAAAGGTAAAGGTAGAGGGATTCGGGATTTCGAATGGGCATGACTTGGCAGGCTCTGGAGCCCTGCACTTGTTTGTAATTCCTGTTGTTGGTTTATAATTGTGCGATCGCATTGCAGACGAAAAGGGCTTTCCATAGCACGTTACAAAAATATCAACAAATCGTCATCATTAATAATGATCACTTCGGGCTATGGTTGCTATTACACCGGAAATAAATATTTCCCTACGATTCAGTCACACTTGCCTTGTCCTCGAAAATAGGGAGTAAAATATTAATATTAATAATTAAATACATGTAGTACAATGGAAATATTTTGTTTTAAATATATTAATGTATTATAAAAAGTTTTATAGAAACTAAATATCATTGCCAGATTAACAGATTATATACAGCATACAGAAGTTTTAATTAGTTCAAAACTTGCTTACAGAAAATTCTGGTTACTCTTAGAGCCATTTAAATTTAAAATAATAGGTATAATTTTTTCCGTGTGCATATATTTTGTGTGTGTAATTTTATAGTGTTTGTGTGTGTTTATTTTTCGGACTGGCCGGTTCATTTGTCAAATTTCACCGCGCCCCCAAGAGATCCCCGGGAGATATATATCTCGAGATCTGTTGGTCGGATTGGATGGGATCGGATCGGATCTCGTGTTGTTGCCGTTGTTATTTGAGCAAACATTCAACACTTGAGTCGAGAGATTTTCGTGGCCAGGTCCAACAACTCAATTCCCAGAGGCCCCTTTGCCCCTTTTACCCCTCCCCCTTTACCCCTCCACCATCCTCCGCCACGGCAATGAAATTATGAATGATGTGATACTTTTGCCATTGAGATGTTTTCACAGTCGCGCGGCTCATGACATGCCCCGGCCATATCTTATTTGCTATATCTACATCGCTTGCGAGATTGGAAACTGGCAACTCGAGTTGCTGCACAGACAGAAAAGTGGATCAGTCAAAGTAAACATCTTGCTACTGAATTAAACATTTTATAATACATATTAAAATTAAACATAAAATCATAATATTAAGTACAAAGCGTTTAATTTAAATTAGTTTAATATTATATAATTTAAACCAAATATATCCGTTAATAATAAAATATATTAATTAACGTGGAATTAAAATTTGCTAATTTGTTTTTAAATGCACTATGTTTAAGTTCAAAGGGGTTTAAATTTCAATAATGTTTTTAAATTTTTAAATTAGTTTGGACATTACATGAATTATTCATATATATAAAAATCGCAATGGATGAAAATCAAAACACAAAATATATAAATTGAGTATGAAATATTTTGATTGACTATAATTTTTTACCAGTGCCGTTGTTGCTGCTTGTTTCTTGTTGGTTGTTGGTGGTTGTTGGCTGGTTTCTGGTTGCCAGTTAAGAGTGTTACCCCTTTTCCGTTTCCCCAACCAACAGTTGCTGCCGTGTTTGTGTTATTTCTGCTGGAAATGAGCGATCGCGTGCAATAATTTGTAGACGACTTTGCCGGCAAGGAGAAGGCTTTTTAGCCACACAATCCACTAACCAGTACCCAGTATCCAGTATCCAGAATCCGTATTCAGAATCGTTCCTGTTGCTGCACATGCTGCACATCATTTTTCAAAATCATTCAAACACTTGTTAAATATTTTCTTAACCGATTGATGATGATTGTGACTCGCCGAGGTAGAATCATCATCATTCTGCTACAAAATTATTTGTGTTTATCAATAGAGTTGCGCTGAAAAAAGGTCCGAAGTCTCGCAACTGCGATCTTTGTTTCGGTGCAGAGAAAACAATATTTTTATAGAAATTATTTAAAGATTTTATACAAATTTGTAGCTATATTTGTTTTTGGTCGAACCACATACTTATTTATATGTTTTAAGAAGGTAATTATATATTTTCCTGGATCTACATGTAACATACTTTTAATACTGTCAGTAAGTACATATATAAAATGTATAATTTATCTTACGAAATTTAGATTTTTCTGAGAGGACTTTGGACAAGATTTCTTAATGATTTCCAATCAAAAAAATAGAACTTTCCTATAGCAATTTTACGCTGCGATTATCACACCCATTTTTCTTCCTAATTTTTTTTTTCTGTGTAACCATCAAAGGCATTGACTTATTACGATTTTGTTGGCCTTTTCACATTCACGCTGGCCCGCTGAAATTAATTGATATCTGTGGTATGCGCTTTGTTGGACTTTGATGAGCGGCGACCCTCCGTCTTCGAATTTCCAGTCTTCGTTCTCCAGTCTTCAGTCTTCGGAACTCCGTTTCCAGGCTTTTGGCCACTTTATGCCCTGATGATCGATTACAGAACGTGCCGGAGTCGTGTCGAGTGGCCATTGAAAACGGGGTCAAGAGTTGTGTGGCTGTGCCATTCGGTGATTGGGTATGCAAATTTCCAGCAGATGCAATAAGCATTGTAATTCCTGGCCATTGGCCCATCATCGCATCTCAACCTCTCCAACTGCAGCTCCATCATTCGTGCGGATCATCATCAATCCGTCGAGGCGGTCCCAACAAAGTCCCGGTAAAGTCCGACAAAGGGAGTCCGCTCCTTTCAACACTCTCTTCAACACTTTTGAGCACTTTTGACACCCAGGACCAACCTCATCGAATCTGAATCTGAATCCGAGTCCAAGTCCATGTGCGTGTGACTCATGCCGCTTGGCATTTTAATTGATTTTGGGGGGCGCAAAAATCTTGTGCAAAATCCACACGACCCGCTGGCACACGTTCTATTCACTTTGGCGCGGCAGTGTCGTACGATTCCCAAATTAACAGGGGATTAATTCCAGTTATCGGCTTAGAAAAGAAGGTTTTATTGCAGAGCAAATGCAAAAAAAAAAAGTTCCATAGCTGTAACAACTTAATTTATTTTAGAATAAAAATTTTCATTTATTTTTTTTTAATATCCTAGCGTGACAAGTTCACACTTATAGTTATAACGCAATGTTTTTCCCCAAAATAAAAACAAAACTTTTATTGTAGATTTCAATTTTATTTGAAAGGCCAAATGCCCTTCTTATTCTTAAACAAGGTTAGTCATTATAACTTTGAAATGAATTCCGTATTTATAGTTTACATCTTTTCTGTGGGAAAAATTTATAGCCCCCTTTTTCAAGCCCCTGCACTAAGAGTCAGGCACGTACGAAAAACGCTGCTTGGCTAGGATCTGGAATGGGACATTCATCATGCTGCATTGCTCGCCAACTCACTGACTCTTTGAATCCGCATCTGGATTCGCATCTGAATCTGGCTGCCTGCGTAGGCGTTACTGGTGGTCAACATCTCCTCCTCCTGCTCCTGCTACTCAGTTTCCCTCCACCCTCCAGTTTACCTTCATTGGGCGTTGGAGCACGTAAAAATGTAACACCAACTGTCGGGATAAGGGGAATCTGGCATCGACAACTTACGCACAACTGAGCTGACTGGTTGGTTAATTATTAGCTGAAAATAGAGAATTTTTTTGGGTGAAAATTAATTTTGTACATAAAATTTATTAACAAATACTTTATAAGTTAGGACAATATTTTTCAATAATTAGCAAATGACTTGCCTTGCTTATATATGAATAACTGATAATGTAAAACCCTAGTTAATATTTATTTTCTTTTTAATTTAGTTTTCGATTGAAAGTTAAATTTTTATCTTAAACCCAGCAGTATTTTTCGTGCACTTTTAATTAAAATGTTGCTGCCCAAATTTTATACATATAAAACTAATAATATAAACTTTTATGTATATACGATTTTTTCAGTACACTGTTTTTCAAGGTATTTATATAATATTATTTATAAAACTCTTTAAATACAACCTGATATTCATTAAAGACTTCAATTTTATTTGAAAATCCATTTTTTTTTCTTAAAACGCAGCACTGTTTTTCGTGTTGCTCCTGTTCAATCGACTGGGCCATTCGGAGGCCAAGTGCAATTTCCATTTCCATTGGCTTTGGCGAGTGGCTGCGAATCTAGATCCGAGTCCGAATGCGAATGCGAGTCTGAATCCCTT